GATGTCATCGAGTTCAATTTATGCAGGCGTCGGCCTAAGTACCAGTTAAGTCGCACGGCCATCGTTGCCAAAAACTGAGTGTTGTTGTAAATTTGTGGCATTACTTCAATTATATTATTAAGTGCATGCCAGGCACGCCCGATGAACACCTACTCAGGACATTCATATGTCATTTGCATTGGCAGCTTGCCAAACCGGCGGCTGATAGACAGCTTTATGTTCATTTGCATGTCGGGTCGGGATTTTAAGTTTCTGTCTGCATTCATAAATATTACAAATTTCCTGACGCCTCGAAGTGTTGTGCGGGCATGTATATTTAAAACAGGCATTTCGCATATTTATGAGTTCAATCGAGAGAGCGGACGGACGGACGGAAACGGCAGACAGTGGTGGATCTGCCGGAGCCGGAGTCTTAATGCGCAGGCCTTAATTGAGCTCCTGACGGGCAGCTTGTCAGGTTTAGGCCACTGCATATTTAACCCACCTGCTCGATGAAAAGCTGCAGCAGCTGCAGGAATCCCTTGCTGTCGGCCAGCACATGGTTGCCGTTGTTGCGGAAACAGCTCTCCAGGAGCCGCAGATCTCCGGCGGAGTGGAGTCGCCACTGCGCGAGCACAAGCCACGACACAGCGTCCCGTACACGGCGTCCGCATCCTGGGCACTTCGGTGGTATGGTGGCGTGTCCAGTTGCTGAACACTCCGCTCGAAGAGCAGGAGGAGGGCCAGGACCTGTTGACTCGGTCGTGCCTCGATGAATTTCTCCAGCATGCCCAGCACCACTTCCCGTTGGGTGTCCAGTTCGCGTCGCTGCGCCAGCAAAGCCTCTCGGGTTTCCGGCGTGGGGGCCGCACTCAAAGGACTCTGGCACGCCGCTCGACCTGAGTTATGGCCCTCCGTGTCCAGCCTCCTCCAGCTGGCTGTGCATGAAGAACAGCTCGTAGCTGAGGGTCTTGAGGGCTAGCAAAGCCACCTCGCGCACATCCGTTGGCCAGCAGATTGTTGGTATGCTGATGATCTTGGGTATGGTGATCAGTTGTCGGTCGCTCTTTGGGTTAGCTGCACAAGGAATCTGAGCATGGGCGGAACAATGATGAAGGCGTTCCTGGAAGAGCCATTTAAAAAGTACACAAAATTATATAGCATCATAATTAACAACGAAATCATATTTTATTATTAGAATAATCATTTATATGGGCTTCACTCACCTATCTATTCCATTTTCAATCAGATCCATGTTGCTGAGTATCTGGTCGAATATAACATTCTTGGAGTCCAGTATACTATAGGTTACATTTAGCTCCAGCAGTTGGGATAGCAATCGCAGTATGGGTGCCTGAACCAGCGCATTGGATTTCATGAAGAGCTGAAAAGAGGATGAACGAAGAGAAAGGCAATATGTAACATGCAGGAATACAAGTAGTCGGCAAATTTTTGCCATTAATAAAATATCAATGGTTGCACTTTGAACCCACCCGCATACATGCACACCCACACACGTAGCAGATTAAGGACTGCTCCCCAGGATGGTCAGTATTCGTGTCTGTGCATTTTTAATCAAACAAATTGGCTACAACTAAAATTAATTAGCCATCGCTAGCCACCGTTGCGTTTTTACAGTCGGAAAAAAGGAAATTTTAAGTAGTAGAAGGAAAAATAAAAACCATTCTCTTAGTTGTAAGATAAATATTAAAGAATATTAGATTATTGATACTAAATGGTTAAATTTACCAAATTGTGATTTTAATTTTACTATGAATTTTAGCTATAAATAGGCGATTAAATTTAAACATATGTTTATTAAAAATAACTCGAGTTTATGTCAATATACAAGTTTTAAGCCCTTTTTACTTTATAATTTTGTTTTAAATATGAGATACGTTTCTCGAAGTGCACTTACCGTCAGACAGTATATGACCAGCGGCTCGAATAGCTTTATAAGCCGGCCGCATTCGCCCGTCGGTGGAGTGGTCGGCTGCAGGCCCTGCTCAAAGAGCAAACCCATTGCCTGGAGTGGGGCAGTATCAATTGGTTGCCCAGCTCCTGCTCCTCTTTGGTGCTCCTGTTCCCTCCACCGGTTTTGAATTTATTGTCGGCAACAATGTTGAGCCGGCGCCGTGACCCCTGCCCTTGGCCCTAAAGTAGGGACGTATAAAGGCGGCATGGTGCCAGTTCCACCGATGGTCGATGGCTGCAGCCGCACTTGGCTGGCATAATTTTGGGCGAATAAATATTTCAACAGTTGCCGCAGACATGCAACGCACTCGGCGGGCGCATAATTTATGAGCTTGGTCAAATAGTGGAGTATTTCTTCGATTAATTTCAGCTCCGGGGGCGAGGCACTCACCAAGCCCTCCAGACACAGGCCCAACGCATTGAGGCAGGTTTTCAGGAGACAAATTAATAAGCTGCCGGCCTCGTGATTTATGGTTATCTGGAAAAATAGAAGAAGAAAAAGTTAGTAAGGAGGAGTAAATGATGGTGGCAACCTAATGCAACCCGCACATTAAGTCACTCGGCTCGGAGAAGTTTTCTGTTTGAGCTGCGAGTGGCAAAAGTCAAGTGGGATGCTACGTTGGCTGCATTTCGTCGCGGGTTGAATTTTTACAACTCATTGCCATTGCCATTGCTGCGGCAGCGGTAGAAAGTGTTGCATATAAAACGGTGCATTGCGCTGTACGTGCATCCAAAGGATGGAACTCCATCTCCAGCTCATCTAAAGCTGAATCCTGGATGCTCAATGCTGGGATGCTGGGTTGCTGGGTTGCTGGCAAATCTCAGTGCACGTGCCGCGCAACTTTTGCCATTTCGGCGCCACCAGCGACTTAATGGCGGTTGCTCGCTCTGAATCCGCGAGTCCGTGGCTTGACTTACCTTGTAGCTGTCATTAGCACCTCTTAAAATGTTGTAAAGTTTCATGTAAACGTAATCGCCGGCAAAGTAACCCAGAGCCTGAAGGGATGCCGCTGGCTGTTCGCGGGCAAAGAGCTCGCTCTTGGGCGGCTTGGAGCTGCCGCTGCTGCTGCTGCTCCCGGAATGGGAACTGGTGGGCGGTGGGTGGCGCTGATTGGTGACCAGGTGATAGTAGATGTTCAGCATCTTGACACTGTGACGCAGCAGAAAGTCCAGATGGGGGGCACTTGGCTCACCTGAGCTCAGCATGGCACCTGGAATGAAATGTGGAGCAGGGCTTATTAATGGCAAATTAAGTGATCCCGCCGGGGCTAATTGTGTTAAAATGCAAACGAGCTCTTAAAATTATACAAATGCGGCGTAATTGCAGCTCACCAAATGAAAAACGCATTAATGGATTTGCAATTGAAAAATGCACAATTCAATGGGATTGCCATGGCAATATCCTATATATGCTTATGTGTATGCGCAGCTCGGAAGGCGGAAAAATAATGTGAAATTAAAACAAAAATTGCATAGGTAACAAGCGGAAAACGCTTCAAAGTATGCTATGATTTATCAACGTTAATTAATGTGTGCGTGTGCGTGTGTGGCGACTCACGCAACATTTCAATTTATGTGTCAACAATGCAACATTCAGCGGCAATAAGCAATATAAATTTGTATTTTTGCGGCTGCCAAAGGAAATGCCGATGCAAAAAAATTATTATTTACAAATAAATTAAATTGTATGCGCATAAATATTTATAAAAATTAAGTGTTAAGGGAGCCATTTAAAGAACCCCTTCGGGGATGCCACAATGGGCAAGTGGATATCGCCTGCGGCCCCGGATCGCCGTTTGCATTACATTTACTAATTAATTGAAAATTGCACACAATCGCAATGAGACGCCGCCATTCTTCCGTTACCAATTTATATTTATTTATCGCACATTTCAGATATTTTTTCCCCCCTTTCGGCGCAGTTCAACGTTCGATTATGGCTCGCAAAAGGTAGGTAGGTTGTGGGGTGAGATTTCACTGCTCACGATATGTCCATAAGTAGTGGAATTAAACCGCACGGTATAACAAGAACATTACTACACGGAGAATTGTGATAAATGATTCCCCAAGGCTTTAAAAAGCATTTATTATTGGTGAAATCTTCAAAATTGCTTCATTGCGTTGTACATTCCATACCATCATTCATTCATCCAACTTAATCATCTTGAAAACATAAAATTAGATAATTGGGGTGGAAACTATACGCTATGCATCAGTGATGGGAAAGTACTATGTTTAAGGTACTTAAAGTTTACAAAATATAAACAATTCGTAAATACTTTATACCTCTTAATTAAATGCAAATAACAAGGGTTCTATCAATTAGATATAAGGCGAAACTGTCGTTATTTCTAACCTTTCTATACAGTTTTTTAATGACTCATGTAATAACTAGGTAAGAAGGACCCTGTTATAAATATGGTTAAAACGACCTAGTTAATTCCATCTCTGACAACAACATCAGTGGGAATGCAGGTGACTCTCAGTGGCTTTAAGCCATCGGTAAACTGTGAATTTACATAGGCCACAATTAAAGGATTTTCGTTGGCTGTGTTTTGTTTCCGGGCATGAATTGGAAACTATTTGCATACATTTTGGCAACTGTCAAAACTTATCATGAAGCGCACGCGAGAGTGTCGGAAAACATTTGGCGATTCTGTTTTCAAATCGATGTCCAGATAGGCGGGGCACACGGACAACCAGACACATGGCCACATAAGTACACGCGGCTTAAATATTAAATTGTTGAATGTTATTGAATGTTGTTGAATGTGCAATGCACGCAAGCGGCACAAATGCAAATGCAAATTGCAATGGCAAGTGTTTTAGGAGAAAGGGTTTTTCATGGGGGTTATTGGGTAAAAGCAGCCGGTGCGGCGCCACTGACACAAAAATTGTTTAACATTTAATGGTTTATTAATAATTTAATTACTTTTTGATTATGGTGGATTACATTAGCGCGTAGCAAATACGCGACTGGCATGATAAATAATAGAGAGGCTGTCGCCGTACCCCTACCTTTTCGCATAATACCCCTAAAATTTATAGCATCCTAATGCATGTCGACCGACCTGGTGAAGGGTGGGTGGTTCGACGGTTCGGTGGTTGTGAAATGCCCTAATGAAATTGAGTTGAAGTTTGGTTTTCTGTTTGCTGTTTTTTGTTGTGTGCTGAAAACATTTCGTAAATTGAATTGAAATGTTTATTAGTGCACTACTATCTGCATTACTGTTGTTGATGTTGTTACAGTTGCTGGTATTTTTTAGATGCGCATTGTTAATGATGCTGTTTAAAATTATTAAATTAAAAAGGGTCAGATACGTTGTGGAAAATGTGAGCATGAATGCCGCCTTTGTTTGTTACCTATATTTAATGCAACGTTTGGCACCGATTTTAGTTTGAACTAAAGCCTATTACAGAAGGCTTTGTCTGCATGTCACACACCTGTGCCAAATGTTTGCCACGTTAATAGAATAATTTATACAATAAAATGAAAGTGTATTATGTATCTGTAATATCTGTAATAGGCTTCCCCGATTTTTTAATTGTTCGCCCTTTTTTTCGGCTAGCTAAATATACTTTTAGTGCAACGGGAAATTTAAAACCATTTATGCTAATTTCCAGTTTTTCTTGATTAAATTTAAAAATAATAACAGCTAAAAAAAATAGACTGCGCCCAGTCACTTTACACCGCAGCATGAAAATATTTATGCAAATCTATTTAATGACAAACAATTAATTAAAATGATTTATGCAAACGTTGCCACAGCATTCATTACAGCATAATGCAATTAAATATGCAGTCTGAGACTAAAAATTACTGTTTTTGTAATTCCATTTAAATTAAATTAGCCAAACGAGCCACAAAGCGTCGACCGTCCCGGCCCAGTCGAATAAATCCAATAAATATCGGAAATATCGGGAAGGCATTCAGGCGCACCAAGAGAGAAATCATCAGGCACGCCAGCCAGCCATGAATTAATGCGGTATATGAATGCGAACGTCGGCTTAAATGGGGTTGGGGTATGGAGCTATAAAGCTGGGGATAGGGATAGGGATATGGGATAGCAAGGAAATAGCAGAGTAACCCCGTTTGCGATCGGTGTAAGCACCGAACCACTACTCACCTGCCATTAATTTGCCCATCACATCAATCAAATCTTCTGGCAGCCGAGGTCCGCAGCTGTTGCATTGTTGTAGTAGGCATAGCTAATGCAAATTTCAACCGAAATGGAATTCCAGCCAGGCCTGTTGATAGTCCACGAAATTGAAGTGCCTCAGCAGGAGGCGCAGCGCGTAAATTATGCCAAACTGTGAAGGGAAAACAGGATGAGAGAGTGGTCGGGATGGGAGTATCTGGTCTATATCTGGTATCTGGTCGATTCGTTTCGTTTCAGTTCAGTTCGATTGGCGGCTGCCTGGCAAACACAAATATTTACCTGGCACATTTTTATCATTCAGCGTCATCAATTTATTTGTCAAGCGATACAAACTTTGGCCAAAACTTTTTCCCTCCTGCGCGATTTGACGTTGGGATGCCCGATGCCAGGGCAAAAACATGCCCCTCGGCGATGCCGATGCCGTAACTTGCCTCGAAGTAGGCCGGACGCCGCGGAGACTGCCGCTATGGATCCGGATGAGGCAGATGCCGATGCTGAGGAGCTGGACGTGCTGCCCGTTTCTGGATAGATTGAGGCGGAGGCACAGGCGGAGGAGGAGAAGGCCATTGCATCCAATTCAGCCAGAGGCGGCACAATCGTCGAACTGGCCCGGATAAATTACGCAACGTCACGGACATGCTGCCAAATATGCGATAGTCGAAAAAATCCCACAGCAAATTGAAATTAGTTTGTTGAGTTTCCACGTTGACGTTGCTATTGCCATTGCCATTGCCTTCGATTTCGCCTCCGCCACCATCTCCTGCTCCTCCAGTGCCCTCATCCCTCGCCTCCTTCGATGGATCCTGGCGCGCCGTTTGCATTATAAAGCGGCAGAGACAGCAGGCGGCGTGTTCCCGCACCCGCGCATCATCGTCGCCGAGCAGATGTAAAAGTTCAGCCAGAAATTGCGCCTGCAAGGGGAGCAAAGTGTTTTTGAGTCAGTTGACGGCACGTTGTAAATCAAAAAGTGAGCCAAGTTTCATTATGCAGTTTGGCAGTTTCGAATGCCCGTGCAGATGCGGTTTGCCTAGTCGATTTGGCCGGGAAGGTAGAACACTGAGGAAAGTGGATCTCAATGACCCTAAAAACGAACACTATTTTTTTAAACCTCTCTATACCCTTTAAGTATAACATTTTTCTTTACATAAACACCAAAACTTAACTACGCCTTTATAATTATTAAATTTACGTATTAAAATTTCTTTAAAAATTGGAAAGATGTACAAAAATGTGTGACTATTTTCAAAATTTAAAAAAATATATAGATATATATAATTAAATTTTTAATTTTACAGAAATTTCGAAGCTTTCCAATCCATTAGTAGAATTAAATTTAAATGGGTTGAATTGAATTCTTAAGTTTACAAAAGAATAGTATGCAACATATTAATACAAACATTTTTTAAATATTAAAAAAAATTGTGGAGTAAATTATAAAATTAAGTTTTTTTCTAAGTGAACAATCATCAAAAATGCGGCATTCCAAGTTTTGAACTTTGCGAAAACACAGTCAACCATAATTGCAACTACGATTGGAATACGAAATTCTAGGCAGCAGTTAAGCTCTTTTCATTCCCATACATTTTCTGGGTATTCAGTCTGATCCGTCAATCGTCTTTTGGCTCAATTGTTTGCCGACTCTCAAGCTGATGTACGTTTTCCCTCTCAGTGCCATTTAGTAAATTGCTTAGCTTTGTCAAAATAATAAATAAACAAATATATGTGTGCGAAGCGCCACAAGAACCCCGAAGCTCCGAGTTCCGAGTTCCGCTTGTCAGCCAGTCCGTCATGCTGTCAGTGGGTCCGTCATTCGGCATTCAGCATTCGGCAGGATGTGCTCCTCCTAGACTGCGGGAGTCTCCTGCAGAATGCACAAAGAGCCCGGCCACACACTTGAGTGCACAAATGTTCAATAAGAGTTGTCAGAGGATGCCTTGGAAGCCTTCGCTGGGCGAAGAAAACACACTCGTAAAATAATCTGCACAATAAACAAGCTGGCGAGCAGCGGGACTGCCAGCGGGCCCGGCTGTAATAAGACGATTTAGCTGCTTACCTCATAAGTGCAGACAATGTCCTCGCCCTCCGCATCCCGGCCAGAATCGCAGGCATCCCTTGACGGCCGCCTCGAGTCCTGCTCCTTGGCGCCGCTGTTTTTGTTGTCGATGATGGTACAACGAGAATTTGCGTAGTACGACCGCAGCAGCACGTAATTTAAATTCGAAATAACTTCGGCGTATTTATTCTGGACCAGCCAATATTTATTGTGATGGCAGAGCCGGAGTTTGCTCAAGAGCAATTTGGGTGAGATGGCAAACACACAGAAGGGTTCAACCAGTTCGGTATTGGGCTTGGGCTTGGACTTGGTATCGAGATCGGGCTCATTACCCAACTGCCCAGTGTGCTGCTCCTGCTCCTGCTGCTGCTGCACCCCAGTCGATTGCAATTGGAAATCATTCAAAAGAACAGCCAGTAGCTCATCATTATCAGTGGCCGAGGACTTGGCACATGTCCCGGCATCGTTAGGACGCCTTTGTTGCAGCCGTTGACTGCTTAAGGCATTATCCTGGTCCTTTGCAAAAGTTTGTTGGCCAAATGTTTGCGCCTGGCCCGGACGCTTTTGTTGTCCACTTGAATGTCGTTGCAGGTCCCTCTCCTGGTTGTCCTTCTCCTGGTCTTGCTGCTCCTTCTGTTGCTGCTGCTGCTTCTGCTGCTGCTGCTGATGAGCATGATAATGACATGGCGGCTCTGTCAAATATTTGGACACCACATGCGGAAATATCTTATCGAATGCATTCAACGCTTGTATAACCACTGTGTGGATCTCGTCCTCAAAGCCCTGCAATAAGTGGGGGAGAGCAAAAAGTTTTTCGGCTAAATTTCTTTATACAGGATCTCAAGAACAGGCATAAGACGGCTAGCTACGGCCAAAACGAGTCGTTGGCTAAGCGAATTTGTGTTTTATTGTTTGCACAAGCAAAAAGTTTTCCACAATCACACAGTGGCCAGCTCTCAGGCATCCCATCCCTATTCCTATCCCTGCCATTCCTTTCCCTGCCCTCCATCCGGGCATCCATCTGAGAGTGTGTGCATTTTTAACGAATCCCTAACAAGCTTTTCCTAGCTGCAGACCCCGACCAAAGGGCTATTGTTATCAAAGTTGCTTTGCCTTTGGCCTGTGTTGGCCTGCTCCAGGGAAGATCTTCCCACTCGCCACCGCCACCGCCGACCCATCCCTAACCCACAATCCCTATCTCGTTTTGGCTCCAATTTTGGTATGCTGGCAAGTGCCATTGAGACGGATTTGCAGCCATTATGTAGCAGGCATCTAATGTGATTTTCAGCTAGCACGTCCTGCGTCCCATTCCCATTCCCAGTTCATCCTCGCTCATCCCTTCGTTTCCTTTTCTAAACCCCCATCTGCGCGTGCATCTCGCTGCAACAACATTGCATAATCAAATTGCACTTTTGGGGAGGCCAGCAGCCAGCAGCAATTTAAATGTTCGGTGCTGGCCACTAAATTATTGAATTCAATAAGAAACCATCCCCGCATCGGAGCCCCAACTTACTGCCACGGCCAATCCCCAGACAGAAATCAATGTGCAACTTATGCGCACATTCTGCATACCGGAAGGGTAAGAGGATGGGATGGCAAGAGTTGGGTTAGATGGGTGAAAGTAAGATGGCAACGGATGCGCGCTGCTCCCTTTAGGGGCATTTGCACTTGCACATTGCGAAGGCGATAAGAATTTTCTTTCTTATTTTCAAATGAAAAACAACCAACCACACAAAATGCCGCCGGCTAAGCTCCTCCAACTGCAACTGGCTTGAGCTGGAGCTGGAGCTGGAAAATATTCAAAAGGCAGCAGCCATTGATATGGACACGTGTCCGTGTCCGTGTGTGTTTGCCTGCATGTGTTAAAATATGTTAGCTTGATGGTTTAACATAGAAAAAAGTACAGCGAAAAGGTGGGGGCACATATTTATAGATATAGAATGTTTGCACAGAGGGGAAAAAAAGGGTAAGCTACGCTACTGACACATAGCAAACCAGGTCAGACCATGCGATGCTGGAATGCCCTAAGAAACTTCATGGAATTCTTAAAATAACATGTTTTTAGAATAACAAAAAGACATATTTTGTGACTTAACAAATGCTTTTTGAAAAATCATAATATTATTTAAACTGATACCAACTTCCTAAGTAAGTCCCCATACCTTTCACAGGGTAAAGCAAATACTCGGTCGTACAACGTGGCGTATGCGTTATGCAAACACAAGGGGTAGAAAATGGAGTAACACGACGAAAGAGAGAGGGACTGCAAGTGGGCGTTCCACGACAAAGATATGGCGCCAGATATACAAAGCGGGTTAGCATACATGTAATGTGGCTTACCATTAACCAAGAACCGGAAGATTGGAGCTACCCATTAAAGGAACTTTCATCGGAGTGCCTGTGGCTATCAAACGCTTTGTGCGAATATCGCGTAAGAGGCTATCGCCGCACTCACCTTCAACAAAATGGCCAGCAAGTGTTGCAGACCAAGATTACGTTTCAGTTCCAGAAACAGTCCAGCTCCACTGGATTGCAGGAAGTAACCCACAACTTGCTGCACTCCACCACGCAAAATGGGATCGGTGTGGTCATGGAAGAGCAGAATATCCGAAAGTGCCTGGCAGCCTTGAGGAGTTGGAGGCGTCCCAGAGGTGGAAATTAATCCCAGAACTCCTGAGCGACTGCGCGTAGACTTTGTGCGCTTGGGTGGACGTGGCGGCAGGCTCAACGGTGGCACATCCTCAGCTGCCACTGTGGGTTTAAATGAGCTGCCAATGATCTCGGACTTAGAGAGTTTCTCTTCCTGCGCAGATTTCTTTGCAGGATGAGAGGAAGAGGATCCACTAAGCAGAAGAACCGAAGCATCTGCACTGCGACTCAGCGTGGGCATAGCCGGCTGCAGGTAAGCTGGACAGGTGCTGGGGCCAAAGTGGTCGTCTTTGATGTCCAGCAGGAGCAGGTTATCCTCCAGATCGGTTTGAATGAGGCTACTATCCATCGAAGCCTTCTCTCCGCCCACTTGTGAATTGTCGCTGCTTTGAGGACTGGACACCTGAGTACTGTCCCGGGATACGTCCTCCTCCAGCAGCTGCAATTCCCGATCGCTGATTTCCACGCTGAGTTGAAGAACCCTGGGAGCCAAGCGTACACATTGCGCAATCACGGCCAAGGAGAGACTCTTAATGGATACTCTACTGATGCTATCGGGCTGTAATCCCGCCGCCTGTCCACTGAGCAGGAACCGAGCTGCCACCAAACGAGCTGTATAGTAGACCAACGACTGCTCCAGGATGCTGCCAATTTTCACGGTGATCTGGGCACGACCGACAACAGTCTGCCGTAGCGGCGAGTTCTCCACTAGAAAGGGATTAGCTGCGGAGATAAAGCTTCTAATTAGTGTCTCCTAGGTGCGACAAGTCGCCCCGGCGACTTACCGTTGGGCGTGCTTCGCAACTGCGGTGTTTCGGGCTTAGAAGCTGCCACATCCACGCCCGGTGGATCCATCATGAGGGCGGTGGAGGCGGTGTGGGAGGCAGTCATCGAGCAAGAGTCCTCCAGCGGCGTGGGCGTCTCCGCAATCGAGGGCTGTCGCTCCGGCGGCTCCGTGTTGCTGCTGCTGGCCAAGGAGGTGAGCGAAAGCGTGAGCGAGGCAGTCGAGATGGCATCCGATTTGTCGGCGGGCGTCGACTTGGAGGGCGTGGACTTAGAGCCGCTTGATTGACGAAAGAGCTTACTGACCGACTCCGAGGCTGGAAGGATAAGAGCAAGCACAAAAGCCCCGAGTTAGTGCGTCCTTTCGAAGGTCTAGCAGATAACTTGGTTTGACACTAATGCCAGCAATGGCGTTGGCTAATTTGCGGCCACTCCAGACGGCCAATTACCCGGCACATTCGTCCATCGTCTATCGTGGCAAACTTTGTGAGCCAAGCCATGAGGGCAAAGGAAATTGCAAGGATGTGAGTAAAACCGCTAAAACTATTTTCCTTAGCTACTTTTTATGTTGTTCTATTAGCTTGCCGCCGCGGGCAAACTTGCCGGGCTCTTCATCTTGTATTGAAAATTAATTGAAAACTTCAATTTCATGGAAAGTACGAGTATAGTGCAGCCACTCGCTTCCTCCGACTGACCACTTAAGTGGGTTAAAAATGGCTGCATCTTTTAGATGCACTTGTTGTGGCTTTCCCAGTTGTTGTTGTTTTCTTTTTTTGTTTTGTTTTTGTGTTATTGTTCTAATGGATGTTCCGGCCGCATGCAAGTGCTGTAAAAATTAGAGCAACCACGATTCCACGACTGCGGCTAACGGAAGCAGCAGAGCACTTTATGGTCAAAGTGCTCGCATGTATTGTTCGGGGGAGATAAACTACAGAGGAAGCCTGATCAGGGTTTCAGCAGAGCATCCTTGAACTACAAGTGGTAATCCCACAAATTGGCTAAAGATATGCAAAATCTTAAATATTGCATTATTACCAACCCAATAACCAGATTACTCTAAAGTGAAAGATCTTAGATCATTATTTTTGAAAAGGTTTAGTTGATAATCAAATATAAAGGCTTAAGTTTAAGCAGCACACCTTGTAGTTAACAAGTAGTAATGCTCCATTTAAAATGCAGATTTACCCAAAAATATATTCTGAATTACATTGGCAGGCCACAAAATTAGCAAAAGCTGGGTGCTCATAAAAGTACCCAGAAATCAGGGTCTTTTATGGAACTTTCCTGCTCATACACTCGCCAGTAATTATGTTTGGGGTTGTTCGGGGGGGTTTTTCTGGCTGCCATTTTATGCTTTAATAGTTTCGCCTCCATAAAAGTGAAAACGGCAGCCCAGCAGCTCCGCAACATCGGTTGAGTGTTTTCTTTTTTATTATAAAATCACGTTGAAAATGCAAACAAAAAATACAGCACACAAAAATGGCAAATAAAACTTTGAAGCGTATAAGCAAAAAGGGAGAAACAAAACCCCCAACTAGGCGACAATGAAAACCGCGTAGGAAAAGCGCGCTCTGGTCGGGTAAACAGCGGGGAGAAGGTCTCGTGGCTGCTACTTTATGCCCGGTACACAGACGGGAAAACCTCTCCGCTTACCCACACACATGCAAATGTTTTTTACAGCTCAAGTTGCATATGTGGATGCAGGGAAAGGGTACAAAAAATATTACAAAAAGTGGGCGAAAGACAAGACCAACAGTCGTGAAAAAATGGTTTATGAAAAAAGAGTAAGATGGCTGGCCCAAACAAAATGAAAGCCTAGATTCACTATCAAAACTGTTAGCTCTTGTAGATCTAGTACGTAAGTTACCTCAACAATTTATAGTTTATTGTTAACATAGGTATTAATAAGTTATATGTATTTATCATTTTTTAAATACGATAAAATATAGAAAAATCCTGAAAAATATTAGGAAAAAAGTATCCTAACTGAAATGGATTTTCATTAAGATTTGTATAAAGATCAGATACAGGAGTTTGTTGCTAGAGTCCTTGGTAGAGTAAACTAATCGTGTTTATCTCTGAACTATAACAAAAGGTTGTAGATTGTTTTAGAAACTAATACATTAAATATGTTATATAATATATAATTTTGTGATGAGATCACAAGAGCGTTTCCCTGGAGTCCTTGGTAGAGTGTACTAATCGTCGGGGCTCTAATGCAGATAAGGACGGGCGGCTGTGGCTACATATCTGAACACACATGTTATGGCCCTAGATATATATATACAATGTACATATTTATAAAAAGAAAACAAACAAGCGGCAATAACTACCGCGGACGGACGAGGAAAGCAGCGCAAAAAGGCTGATAGCGCATAAGTGCACAATAGCAAAAACAACTAATACGGCCCAGAAAGGATAACAACAATAACAACAAAACCATGAGGCGATGGAAACAGCAGGACGAAAATAAAAAAAAAGCTAAACGCGGAGCAGGCAAAGTGCAGCAACTGATGGCTGGCTCCTCTCGTTTTGGCTGACTGTTCCTGGTCCTGGCAATGCTAAATAAACCGCCACACACACAGTGTACACACATCCTATACACACGCCCCCGCCAAAAACACATACACACACACACCCGGCACACGTATACTGTGACACAACATGTAAGCTTGCATACATGCAATTTGAGTAACCGCATTTTATCACGTAACCCATTTGTCTTAACCACTTTGTTGCCAACTTGCAGTGTGATGCTTTGGCCAAGTGGCAGTGGCGGCACAAGAAAACCAGCAATGAGGTTGGCGGGCGGAGAGTTTTGGGGCCATCGCACAGCACAAATGCATTGCCATGTTTCAAGCTTAATCCGCATCCCTCGCACACACACACATGCACACAAGAAATGCCGGATTTAAGCCCAACATTTACGTCAAGTAGATGTGGGTTTTTATACGCACCCCTCTCTCATCCGCCCCGACCAGTTGTCTTTATTCCCCCCTTTATTCCCACCCATTCCTTCCCAGTGCTCTACTCCGCCCTCAACTCATTCGCTTAATTAGTACTTCCGGCTCAGTGCAGTACATTTCCTTTGTTTATTACTAGCCTCCACCCCGCGCACTAACTAACGACAGGACATGGGTCTGGCATCAAGTCTGCCACTCGTCCCTGCCCCAGTCCCAGTCCCTCTTCCATTCCATCCGTTTATAGGTCAGGGGAAAAGTGTGCCATACTTATATGCACTTGACTGACGCTCGTTACTGTGAGTTGATTTCAGCAAGTCAGTCGGCATTCGAGCGGTTTAAATATTAAAATAAATTATATCAAGGACAGGGCAATCAATATGCAATGAAATGTCAGCAAATAGCATTAAAATCAAAGCGGGGGGTTGTTTGCCCATGTCAACTGACAAGACAAAAGCCAACATCAAGATGCATCTCAGGGTGCACAAACAAAAATAAATAGGTACTTACTAAATCGAGAAATCAACTAAAATACTTAGAAAGGAAGTCATGTTTTTGGAAAATCTCTGAGGGCTCTTTTCGCAAGGTAAGCTGATATGCCCTTTAAAATAAAGTTACTTCAAAACAACCAAGAGTATATAATGCCATTTATAATAAGTATATTTGTCATAAAAAAAATCCTAGATCTAACGTCGTTATTTTAGGATCAAAACTCAACTTTGTTAGCACCTGGTGCTCACACCTCCTTCACGGAGAACAATACTTGTGCACGAATTGCCTAATTTTGCTCGACAACCGAGGAGAGTTGCTAGTTGCAGTGGCAACAATTACGCTTCATTAAATCGCAAGTGCAATTGGCAATCGAGAACGACCCCCGCCTCCAAGTCACGTCTGCAGTTCTGCCGCAATTATGCAAATAATGCCATCGAAAGCCAACGGAATATTGAAAGTAAATGCTGAATTGTTTGGCGGAAAAAACACCAAAAATCTAAAGAACGGGCAAATAGAATTTGGTGGCGACTGCGGTAGACCATGAAATGCAATAACATCGAATGGAAATAGTTTTGAACTTGCTTCGCTGACTTTGAACTTTGCTAATGAAATATTTCCATCGAATATAAATTCATAGTTATGGCTGACTCACCTGCATTGGAATGCGACAGCAGATTGTTGAAGAATGTGCCAATTGCTGTTGCATCGCCGGATTCCACCGTATCATCCGCCGGAGGATGTTGCTGCTGCTGCTGCTGATGCGGCTCTTTGCTGCCGGCAATTGTGATTTCGGCTTCGAAATCGATGCTGTTGAAAGATTCATTGTCGATGTCACTCAAATGCTGGGATTTGTCATCGCTGCCGGCGAGCAGATTCTGCAGAGATGACTGATGCTGCGGTTTAGGCAGCCCCCCGACATCGGCATCAACATCAATCAGTTTATCGTCCTGCGATGTTGCTGTTGTTGCGGGCAATTGTAATGCCGCTGACAGCGCCTGTTGTTGTTCATTTAGTTGCGACAGGGTTGTAAAGTCATCACACTCGGCACTCAGCAGCTCCATGTCGTCGTCATCATCATCATCATCATCTTGCTCCTCCTCCGCTGCCGCCACTGCCCTCCTATCATCATCCTCGTCCCGCCGCCGCCGGTGTCCTTGCCCCTGCTTGTCCTCATCCGAGGCAACGCATTCGCTGATGCTGCGTGCGGCATTCCTAATGTGGCAGCGCTGCTTCGCTGCCTCCATGGATCCCCCTGGAAAATAAATGGGGAAAAGGGATGTGAGTATGGGTTGGCCTTACAATTTGTGTAAATATTTGTGCAGGATTCCGCTGGCGGCAAATGCAAATGCAAATTTGGCCTGACCTCGTTCCTGCATGTGCCGCCGCCTAAAAGCATGCACTAATAATTTTCATATGTGCATTGTGTGTGGGTGTCTCCATCAGCCTGTGCAATTGCTCAATTTTCTTGATTTCGGCATGGTCTGTCTGTTGGTTCCGTCCGCGTGTCCTGCCCCTGTCCCTGCCCTGTCCTCCAAGCTCCTCTGTGATCCTCTGTCAGCATGTCACATTTCCACATGACTGCGCGCTCACACACTCCCAAACCCAAACCCAAACCCGCAAACCATCTTGCCATACCATGCCTTATTTGCCATACCTTCATCAGCAACGGAACTTGGAGCCTCGGTCGTGGCATCTTCCCCGGCATTAATTCCCAGCGAGCTGTTGTCAACCTCGAGTTGCTGTTGTTGCCGCTGCTGTTGACACTTCGCCTGCTGCAGTTTTGCATTTGAATTCTTTTTCATTTGCACTGCAGTGGCCCCAACCGCCGGCCCATCCACATCCTCGTCCTCATCCTCATCCTCGAGCTGCTGTTGACTTGTCGCCACTTCGTAATTTTTCAATTGGAATATTTGATTCTTTAATGATTTCCTTCGCCGCAAATACTCATTGTGCTGCAGTTGTTGATTGCACAACAGTTGGCGCAAACTTTGGCCCAGACTCTGGCTACATTGGCCATCGTTGGTTGGGGCGTCCAGGGACTGGAGTATGCCGTTGATGACCTCCAGGGTGGCATTTATGATGGCGTGATTCGCGGTGTGCTGCGTGCTCAGCAGGTGCAAACAATAATCATAAATTTCAATAATTTGCCGGCAGTCGGAGGTCGTTGTCTGCTGCTGGTGCTGCTGCCTCTTTCCGGCCAAGGACTCGGAATCCTCTTGGCCATCGGCCGAGTGGCCTCGTATGAGTTGCGGCAACAGGAGGCGCAGCAGACCCAAGGCTCCCAGCACGCTGCTCGTTTGCTGATCCGTCAGCAGGAGTTCTGCAAAAAAAAAAAAAATGAGGAAGGAGAAATAATAAGGATAAGTTTGTTAATGGAGTGAAACTTATGGCTCTGCTGTGTTTGATACAAATTAAAAACGCTCTTCAAACTTTTTGCGCAGCGTGCGCTGGCAATTCCAATTTGCTCAATAAGCAAGACCCAGATACCGATATACCAATACAAGACACCCATGGCAATGCCAAAGGTAACCCACTTCCTTCTGCGTTTGGCCGGCCAATTGCAGTTCATACTTCTTTCTTTCGTGTTCTTGGCAACTTTTCCCTCATATGTTTTGCAACAAATTGCCTCCAATTAAATTTATCTCGTTGAAAACTTTCCATCTGATATTTATAGACTCCGCACACATGCACCCACCCACTGGGACTGGGGACTGGGACTGAAGCTGGAAATGAGAACCTCGACCTCCCGCAGTTCTTGCTCTTGTTGTCTCCGCTTATTTGTCGTTTCATTACGTATACGCCACCAATCACAAAACGCCATGTTGGAAGTTTGTTACTCAATTAGTTTTCATTTTCTTCCTTTGGGGCGCAAAATTGAAAACACTTCTCGCCGGAGAAACTTTTTACATGGCCCTCATGGCAGCCAAGTGACTTTGCCGAGCAAAACTTGCGGCCTGTTTCCATGTGTATCAATTAATTGCGGCAGAAGCCGCAAGAACTTTCTGCAAAATGGGCGAGCCCAAAATGGGATTGTAGAAGGAGGGGGAGGCTTCATGCTGGGCACGTTTAAAGACTGCAATTAATAGCCACCCGAAAGGTGTTCAGTTTGAGGTCTACTTATTGGGGATCACAGAATCGGAGTTTATGATTCAAAAAAATTAAAACTTATAAGAAACTGAAGGAGACAGTTTTGGCTAATTAACCTCATTCTCAATTATATACTATATATTACATTTTAAACAGCTCCAAATAAATCATATAGTTTTTGTATCCATAATATGCAGGTAAATAGCCAAAACCAATTAAATACGAAGCATACAAAATAGGTAATTATATTTTTGGAAAGTCTGCTTTCAGGACTGCCTAAACTCAACAACAATTAAAATAATGAAATAATTACTTTGACATTCTCAGCCTGATGGACTATCAAAGGGCCAAAAGTACACTTCCAAAAAGATCAGCAGTGATTTCACAAAATGAATTGGTCATTTGGCCATTTTGTGCTGCCCACAGTTGACACGAAAAATAATTTGCCCCTTTTTGTTTAGCTTGGCATCAGTCAGTGGGCAACATAAATTTTCAAAAGCTCCCCTTTGCAGCTGTTGGCTTTGCTGGCCTCGTTCGGCTGGCATTTGTTTACAACGTTGATTATCCGCTTTAAAGCTGCACAGGAATGAATATCTGATTCAATTTCGCATGAATTATTGCATGGAAGTGTCCAAGTGCATAAATTTCATTTCGTCTACGGGCGGAGACAAACAAACGGAGATGGCGAGGGCGGGCTTGAGGTCTAGGAACCCAGTTCTTAGTTCTCCGCTCTGAGGACTAAGGACCAGGGTCGTACTTTGTGTCTGTTTGTTGGGCCATGCCAGGAGGATGCCAGGATGCTAGGCAGCCCAAGTACTGACGCTGCGATGGTGATGGGTGCCCATAAAAAGAGGCGCCAGACTGTATAAGGATGCGCTGAAGAGTTGCCTGGCATTGTGCCTTTGCCGAGAAGTGGCATAAAGTTGACACAGGACTAGAAGACCAGTCGGCCGGGGAAGGAGCAGGAACAGGAGCCGAAGGAGTTGATTTGAAGGTAAACATTTGGACAAGAAAAGAGCAAAAGGTAAAGTCAAGTCGAAGCTTAATTTATATGAACTTAGGTGAGGTTAAAATTTTGAATGCCACATATATGACTCGCAAAAGTAATCCGGCAAAATGAATTAGTTTTTCCAATCCGGGCATCTCACTTTAATTGTTTGCAAATGCCAAACACTGAGCTGTATGCAATAACTTTTTTCAACGTCGACTAAATGCATTTACAGTGCAGTACAACAGATCATAAAAAAGCAATGGAAACTGTAACTAAGGTGCATTTACCTCTTCGTCGACGTTTGCCAATAATATTTTCATGAAAATTCAATAAAAAATGATTTGTGTTTGCAATTTTTAAGCATTTTCGCATGGCTCACGTTGCCATGACTTTTGTTTTTGCCGCAGTCCGCCAGTCAGCGAATGCTAAAATAAAAACTGCCCGCTATCGTTGTCTAAAATCAAAACAAATCTAAAAAAAACGATATATATTCGATGGTTCGTCCATCGATTGCGCGTTGGTTACCAACAGCAATGTAAAAATATAATTTATATCAACTGTCTAGTTACTCTTATTGTGGCACGCCCCCTTTAGCGCCCACAGACCACAGACAAACAAACCCCCATGGTTGTGATTGCATTCACAATGCGAGTTTGAATAAAATCCCAAAAACCCTCTTCCCCCCGCTCACGAAGTTCGCAGCTCGATGGCTTTATATTTTGGTAAGGTATTTTTCATGGATTTGCGGCTTTTTAGAATATTAAAAATATTTTTTTCCAATAGCGCGAGCTCGACCAACCATATACACATATATATGCAGAGCTATGTGAGGCTTAGTATTTGGCCGTTACACGCTTTTTAAACACCACTTTCATTATTGATGAGAATATAAAGAGCGTTCTGCTGGACGTGTCCGAAGCGAAAATGCGTTAAATAACTAACAGCAATAACACCGAATTGTGGATTAGTTTATCCAAATCTAGACGAACAATAACGGCTTTTATGAGGGCAGGTGTTTTCTAATTAGAAGGCTTTATTAGGGTTGAAAAAACGAAACTGTTTGTCGGGTTTTTTTATAAAAAGTACACATTTTTAAAGAGTAGTATTAGACTTTTAGATGTTATATTAAAGAGATAGATTGCAACCCGAGAAAACAGATGCTTGCAATAGCGTTAACAAAAATAAAACTGTTAAGTCCTGGATGTACAACTAATCATTATCAAGGATTGGCTAATCGTGTATATACATTTTATTCCTTAGCAATTAAAAAACCCAATTGACTACTAACCACGTAGCTCTTCTAAAAGGCGTTTCATTTCCGTTTCCCAATAACTTACCCATCACTTTGTTGACTCCATGTCTGGCCATGAGGCTTCTATTGCGTGCATGCTCAATAAGACTGATGCAATTTTGGGCCGAACAACGACGCTTGACGGCACAATCGGAGCTAATATTGTCCAGAAAAGTCTGCAAAAGCATACAAAGAATTCAGTAAATAAAGATATACAATAAAGGGCAATGATCGCACCTCGAAGAGCTTGCAGGATTCGCTATCGCTGAGACCCTGTTGTATATAACGACCAAAGTGCTTGACGAAATCGCAGAGGGTCTCCTGAAGCAGTGTCTCCCTACGCTGGGAAATGGTGGTCATGCATTGGAGCAATCTCACTGCATACCACTTGATGTGCTTCTCCTTTATTTGCGGGGCATAGTAGGAGAACAGGTTCAGGCAAATTCTCAAGGATCTGTACAAAAGATTGGTTCTGTTAGTTGCTGTTGTTTTCGGATATGTATTTGTCTCTTTACCTCTGATTACCATTTCGCTTAATCTCGCCGTAGAGATCCATGAGGATGCGACTGACCCGGGTTTTTTCCAGTGCCCTGAGGATCTTGTTGAGGTTCTCCTCGGCACTCATTCGCACCACAGAATCCACATCCTCGCAGAAGAGCAGCAGGACATTCATGGCCGTGCCACAGTGGGCGGCATAGTTGATGTGTCCCGCCAGCGAGGGCGACATGATGCACTCGGCAATCTGCTGGAAGCATGTTATCTTCTGCTTTTGACTGTGGAAATTTCGGGTGATTAATAATTAGTGCAGGTATGTGGCATGACGTCATAACGGATGCGCCCGTTGTTCAAGGTTGAAGGAATGTTTTGGTAGATAAGGTAGATAGTTGGGTCATCTGGGGGCACTAAACCCATCCGAGAATCATATTGACAGCCGCATTTAATCAATATTGTTCCGTAATGAGCAACAAACTGTTGCCGGTTTCCCCACCCCAAAACATTCGATGCAACCAATAACATTCCAAATTAGGTCTAAAACCCACCTGCATTCCGTATTGCGCAGCTGTTCCACGTAGCCCACGAACTTGTCGTAGGCACTGGACCTGGATTTATCCATTTTGGAGTCCGAAATAACGCCTAAAAACGCTATTTAAACCACCTAATATCGAAAAACATTGTTTTGTTATGATTTCTATCAGCTGCACTTAGAGATGGGTTAACCACTAACGATAATATTTATATATCGAATACTAGTGCTTGCGAAAATCGAATGTTACGACTATCGATTGCTTACAGTCGTTTAGCAAGGGTATTCCCTAAACAGTGAATTGTAAAAAATCCAGTACAGTATAAGAGGCAGAAATATTTTCTGTTGATTTAAAAATTGTTTTTTATGGTTAGTGAATATAAGTAGTTTTTAGTAAGTTTTTTAAAATAAGTCTTAGTGAAAATGATGAGAGCGTTATTTTTAGCGGAGCGCTGATAAAAATCTTACAATTCAGCAATTCAACAGGTCTGAGAATACCCTAGTTTCTTGTTGGTCTGTAATGCGCATGTTAGATAACAGTGGCGCGAATGTTATCGATAACGAACATTTTCAAAGAGCCATTCAAATAAATCTGTAATTAAATTCAATTTAAACCATTAAATAAAAACGAATAAGTTATTTTTATTTACTTTTTATTTTTATTTATTCATAACTGCGTTCACATAGTTAATGATTTACTTAAATAAGAACTTCACTTTTTCGTTGTTCATTGTCTTTTGTTTTGTTCGTTGTGAAATACTTATGCTCTGCGCATAATATTTCCTGAAATAGATTTCTTTACATACTCTTTAGGGTAGTGTACATTATTGTATTTAATTATGTTTTACCTTAAAAAACTTAAACCCATACAAAAATGCTTTAAGCTACTTAATGTTATTAACAAAACCCACCATTGTTTTTGTTCGCTATTCATTGTGTTTTCTTTTTTGTTTTTTTTTTAGGCTTGCCCTACGTGTATTCGCGTGAATTATGTAGAAAAAACAATCACAGTCCATTGAAAAAATTATAAAATTAGTTGTTGTGTGTGTGCATAAATCGAGAAAAGGTCTAGTACAGAGGGTTGCAAGTAATGGACATCTAGCAACGGATTACTGAATTCGTGACACAAAATATTTACAACAATTCATTTAGGTGTACCTAAACCTTACGCTTTAAACTACGAAATGTGCAAAACTTAGCCTAGGGAAAAACGAGTGCCGAGTAGAAAGCTAAGGAAAGCTGCGAATGTGCTTAAATAATTTATGACATTTGGGCAGATACAAGAGATTGGGAAACGCGGTGAAACTTGGAAGCGATAAGAAGTAGAGCCGGAGTAGGGGGTAAACTAACTAGGACGACAAGGACGACTAATCGTGATCTAAAGTAGGCATCTAAAAATAGCGTAATATCTGGAGGTCCTAGCCGCGTTTGGCCCGCAGCACGAGGAGCGTCAGCACCAGGAAGCCCACGATCCAGGACAACGTGCTCACATAGCCGATGTACACATCCGACTCCAGTATCGCCCAGCCACGTGTGAGGATGGAGCGCAGCGAGGAGGTGGCCAGCGTCAGAGGCAGGCACAGTGATATGTATCTGGGGAATAAAAATATCTTAAACACCATTCAATTAAAGAAGTAATCTTCCAGAACTGACCTCAGCACCACGGGCATGCCCTCAATGGGCCAGATCACTCCAGACAGCAGCAGGGTGGGATAGAAGGAGCCCAGCGCCAGCTGGATGGCATTCCTCTCCAGCTCGCACACCGAGGAGATGAGGAAGCCGAAGCACATTCCACACATGCCCTGCAGCAGGGTCAGCACAATCACCCAGAAGAGGTCACCGTTGTTGGTGACCCCGAATACCACCAACATGAAGATCAGCACCAGGGTGGTCTGTCCACACATCACCACGAACTGGGTGATCACGTGGGAGAAAAGGATTTCGAAGGGAGAGACTCCAGCAACCCAGGAGCGATCCAACAATCCCTAAAAGAAAGAAATAATAAATATGAATATATATGAACTAGTTTTCATATGTAAATTTAATTTGTTTTAATGACTACTAAATCAAGTAATTTTCTGTCCAACAATATCATTTTTTCCTTAATAGAGCAATTATTTCCCTGACTTACCTCAGTGCGCTCAATGATCAGAGCCGATGACGTCAAAGCAACAGCCAAGAAGAAAACAATGCTATTAAATATAACGAAAAAAAAACATTAATGACACTCCCATAAAATGTATATGTATGAAACCTACGTCAAGATCACGCCAGGTGCCACGAAATCGGTGAACGATGGATTCATGGTTCCATAGATGGGGTCCCTGAACTGAATGGGTACGTCGCCCAATTTGGGATTGCTGCCGCACTGGCCTAGAAGACCCATGGCAAAGTCCCTGAAGGCCAGCTGGATGTCCCGATTGAGCATGACGCCGATCTGCTGATTGGACATGTCCAGCCAAACCTTGACCTCGGAGGAGTCGATCGTTTCGTCATCGGAGTCACGTCCCAGATTTGCTCGGGCAATGAAGGCGTCCGTGAAGTTCTCGCTGATGTAGACCGCTCCCCAAGCTGTGCCCTTTCTCACGGCTTCTTTGGCATCATCCAGGTCCTCATAATATGTTTTAACCACGCTCGTGTTTAGATGACTCAGATAGCGACATCCCAGGTTCTTAAAGTGGCAGCCATCCTCCCAGTAACAATTCTCCTGAAGATAATAGCAGATAAATTAGTTAAAATAATGGAAAGTTAATTTTAAAATCATTGTGCTGCTTTGTAAATCTTTTTAAGTGATTATTTATTACTCTAAAAGTTCATTTATTACTCTATCTGTCTAAAGTTTAATGGGATATTTAAAAATCAAATAAAAAGTGAATATAAAATGTTATATTTTTTTATAGGAAAATTTATGATTGTGCAGTTACTAACAAATTAATTTACTTAAGGTTTTAATGGCGTTTTTATCGTATAAATAAATTAAACGGGTTTTATATCTTAGCTTGGAATCAAAGGTGTATTTAAGTGAAATAGTGTATAATTGTGTGTCTTACCCTTACCGTGTCGTTCATCTCCCCGTTGACTATGGCCAGGTTAAGGCCCTGAGGATCGCGTCCGATGGCCAGGCAGAAGAGGATCACCTGCATGACGGGCAGGGCAAAGATGAACAGCATCACGCCCACGTTGCGCCACATGCGAAGCATGTTCTTGGTGAGCAGGGCGCGGATCTTGCCCTTGGAGGTGATCTTGCACAGGTTGGCATAGCAGTCCTGGCAGCTCTCCTCATCATTGGGGTTATTGTTTCGCCTTGAAGGTGGGGGACTGTACGGTTCCTGGTTGAGCTGGGATCAACAAGATATGAAAGTTAGGCAAGGAAACCATATAGGGAGACCCAAAACCTACCGTGTATATAGAGCCATTGCTGTCGTTGATCAGCACCTCCTTGCTCTGGTGGAAGTTGAGGCCCACCACACCGCCCTCCTGACTGGAACTCGGCTTGTCCATCTTGCTGCCGAAGGCCATGGCGTGCAACGAGATGTTGTTACTAATCCCGACCAAAAAAACCACAAACAGATGGGGGGTGGAACACAGATTGCGAGCATGCGAGTGTCGGATGGAGTAGAGTTCAGAGTGGAGAGTTCAGAGTGGTGATTAGAGTAGTGTCTTCGGGTTAGCCACGTGGTGCATGCCAGATCCTTACCTGAAGTTCACATGGGTCACATCGCCCTTTTGGCTCTGGATGCGGGACAGCTTGAGGAACACCTCCTCCAGGCTGATGCACTTGTAAATGGAGAGCAGGACGCTGGGTGACTCCTCGGCCAGCAGGTGACCCGATCGCATTAGGCCAATCTAAAGATTATATTTAAATATATTTTAGTTATATTTTTGAAAAATAAAGTAAAATATAACCATACCGTATGCGCCTGTCGCGCCTCTTCAATATAATGTGTCGTGATGATGACCGTCTTTTGGCCCGCCTTTGTGATATGCACCAGATGGTTCCAGATGCTCTGACGCAGCAATGGATCCACGCCCACAGTGGGCTCATCCAGGATCAGCAATTCAGGATCGTGCATCAGAGCCACAGCAAAGCTCACACGACGCTGCTGACCACCACTGAGATTCTTAACCAGACGCTTCTCCGACGGCAGATCGAGGAAGTTGAGCAGGAACTGTAGACGCTCCAAGATCTCCTTGGTCTCCATGCCAAAGATCCAGCCGAAATACATCATGGTCTCCTGGATGGAGAATTCCCCATACAGAGCGATCTCCTGGGGCATGTAGCCCACACGCTTTCCGGGCACACCTGATCCTCGGGTGCCGGGTTTGCCACCCAGAACGAAGATCTCACCGGCGTCCATATAACGACGACCCACAATGCAAGACAGCAAAGTGGTCTTGCCACAACCAGAGGCTCCCAGAAGGCCATAACTGAGGGGGAAAATATATAAGTAATTTTTTATAAGTTATAAAATGCATATTAAAATCCAAGCATAAACCCTTTCTAATCTATACAACATTTTATTAGGATTTTTAATTAAGTCAGTTTTAACTTATTACCTTTTTAGACTTTATTGTATAATGCCAATTTTGTTTGGCTTCTTGGGCATGTAACGGGGTCGCCAAAGGTTAAGAAGCCAACCATGACAGAGAGGCAAAGAAATTTGATGAAAAGTCAGCAAAAAGCGGGAAAAACATTTAGCCAACTCAGCACGAAAACTGTCGCCACCATAAAAATGTCTATATATGTAACTGGGTATATAAATACGAGTGTGGCATGTCGGCGGCGATGTCAATGTTAATTCCAGCAGTTCAAGTTGAATTATTTCGAAATGTTCACCTTGAAATGTAAGAAATGCCCGCGGCTATCAAAAAAGCGACTCCGCCTGTTTTTTATTTAGGAGGGGCTAGTCTCCCCATAATTATTATCACCACCATCATCATCATCATCATCATCATGAACTTGGTAGCTGTGATTATTGTGATTATCGCTTTGTTTTCATTTTGTCTTCGGCCTTTGACAAAATATTGCAGCACGTAGGTCGCACGTTTTGGCCTGTTATTGGATCTATTATTATAATTAGCACGCTGCGCCATTTAACGAATTAAGCGAGACAAAATCTGACAATTTAGCCCCAGGGGAGGACTGTCTGGAAGTTGGCCAGACTTTAATTGACTTCAATCGTTAAATGCACTGACTTTGAGAGCCCAAAAGCAGTTCGTTGACTTGCTCAAAAAACGAAAAAAAAAAAGTGACTAACTCAGCGACCTGACCTAGGTCAAAAAGCTGAACGAACCGAGCTGTTAACTGGGTCAAGACTGCTGCACAGAGTCTCGGCGGAGAATAAAATAAAAATCCCGTTACGACACAGCATTAATTCGCTGAATAAATCACTCAGAATGCCAAAAAGCAAACAAGGAAAAAAACAAAATTTAATAATACCTCTGCTCAGGCCATATCCAATGCCAAAGGCGGCTAAGACAAAAAAAATATAAAAAAAATGCATATTACGAATTTATTTTTATGGCCCTAAATGTTTGCCAAAAATTCGTGGACCAGCAATTAAGCACATGTGCCGCGACAGAGATGGAGATAGATAAGTTTTGGCTGCTCCAAACAAACATCAATATTGTTTTCCAGCCATTTGCAAAACTTCTCAGACGATAATCGATCAATATAGCTGGGCATATTGGTTTGGTTTCGAGAATATTGCCAATAACCTCAGTGTCTGGCATACAAATAGATTTCGGATTAATTGCAAAGACGTGTGTACATTGACGTCAGTTGGGAACGCGGCTTAATGGGGATCATAACCAAAGATCCGACATATGAGGAACTTTTCAAACGACCCTCGTTAGCCGCCTAGAATTATCATGCAAAAATGCCGTTTCAATTGCAAGATAGTCGAACGACTAAACCGGTTTGCCCTCCATATAATAGCAGCAATTAGACGCAAGCGTAACCAAGTGACCTCTGATATAGACGAGATCGGAGATCGGATCGGATTGAATAGGTGCAAGTGCAATCAAATCACCGTCACAAGGAAATCGCTTAGCATTGCGCCAGCGGTGCTAATTTCGGATTCGAGTTCAGTTGGCATTAGGTGCTAATTACTTTCGCCGTTTCTATTTTATGAACTCGCTAAATTGAGCTGTCAACATTTCACTTTTATTGATGAAACCTGACCCGTTGATCCCAATCACTCTAGCACTCACATAGTTCCCTTGGGCACAGTCATGTTCAGGTTGTTCAGCACCTGGTTGGCGTTCTTCTTCTTGCCGTAGGCCTTGAAGGCATGCCGCACGGATACGGCTGCCTGTGTGTTCCGGGGTCCATTGGCCGGAGCTCCCCATGCCGCCACCGCATTGGCTGTGTGCCACCGTCGTTGTTTGTGGTCGCCATCGC